GTACTTCCTACTTCAAACTTGACTGTTTGAGTCATCATATGAGGTTAAAAGAACCCCAAAATGTTATTTATGTTATATGTTTACTCTCAGGCAGAGATAAACATATTTGAGAAAATCTCAAATTATCTTGGAGTAAAGGGTGAGTTTTATACATATTAGGAGTTTCTCCTAAACACTGTCTTGTTGTCCTCAATTTCCATACTTCTCTGAGCGTACTGACTGAGGATTAGCCTGCCTTTTCTCTGCTTTTCCAAAGCCTTTCTGATATGACCTCTGAAATTCCCACGTCATTATAAAGAACTCTTGCTTTACCTCCAGCGACTGCACAATGGAACGATACCTACCCCGTGCCCATACTCCTCTGGCGATTTACGTCTCCACTGTGTCCTCTGTGTCCTGACATTGTCTGTTGATAGTACAATTCTCTTTAGGAAGACATCAACTTATATTTCTGACCCTTTAAGAGAAAAGTTTAAGGATTTATGACTTTCAAGCTGATATAGGGAAAGTTTGAATAACAAAATATAATCTATCCCAAAAAAATCTAAGAAAGAGACTAGAATAAGCAGACCTATTTGCAAATCATTTGTAAGATGATATGATTAAATCCAAATATATTAATAAATACATTAAATGTAAGCAGACCAAGTATCTCAATTGTAAGGCAAAGATTACCAGGCTAAGTAAAGCTTAAAATTTAACTGTATGCTGCTTATAAGAGATAAACCTAGGATATAAGAATACAAAGAAAAGTTCAAAGTAAAGTGGTGCAGAAGATATGCCACACAAACACTAAGTGAAGAAAGCTGGTATAATTAAATTGGTAATAGACAAGATTGAATTTGAAGCACAAAAAATTATTGGAGGAACTAGCATGGTTATAAAAGATTAATTTCTTTAGCAAGATATAAAAAACTTGAATTGGAATACTTAAAAAGGATATGTATATATATAACATTTAGATATGTGTGTGTGTGTGTGTGTGTGTGTGTGTGTGCGCGCGTATTTTTAAAAATGATCTTTGCTTTCTCATTTCATCCAGATGACCTCCTCTCACTGTTTCTCAGTCCTAGGAGTCTTGCTTCTGCTTTTACTAATCTGGGTTGTTCACCATTCCTTGTTTATTTTCTCAGCTTTTCCATTTCCCATGAAAATTATCTCTGTCTCAAAGCCAGAGTTGTTCCTTTCTTAGGGGTGGACCTTAATTGACATAGGGAGTTCAGCTGGAGACGTGAAGCCACTAGGAAACTACTGCGATGAGTCAAGTGAGGAGTCCAGAGGACTTGACCTTAAGTGCTGGTCATGGGGATAGAGCAAAGCACCTAGTTAATGATCATTTGGAGTTCAAATTGATAGGACTTGATCATTAGTTGGATACGGTGGGAAAAGAGGAGGATGAGAGAGAAAGGACGAAGCTAGGATACTCCTGGGTTCTAAATGATCGGGTGGACTGTAGTTTTATTAACGGAGATCCCAAATGCAGAAGGTACAATGGGAAAGTAACAGTAAGAGAGAAGCCAATGACACAGGTTTGACCATGCTGAAGGCCTGGAGGTGGGGGACCCCCAAGTGGATATAAACCTGATGTTCAGAAAACAGGTTGGGGCTGGATATGGAGATTTCAGAGTCACCAATGTATGTGTGTGCATAATCGTTAAAGCTGGGACAATAGACTAAGACCATCCCAGGAAAAGCAGAGTCGTGGAGAAGAAACATCCTTGATTTTCCTCCTTATTAAAAGCCAATAGTCAATAGAAACACCTCGTTGGCCCTGCACTTGCCTTTAGATTACACCCATCTTCATGGCCTCTAAGGAGTAGCTTACTTGGCTGCCTCTACTTCTTCATACATGCTCTCTCTTTCTAATACAGTGCATGTAGGTGTCTGCCCACTTCACCATCTTCAGCCTCTGATGCTGCTCTGCTGTGGTGTGGGTCACTCCTCACACAACTTTCATCATTGTATTTGGCCTCTTCTATGGCACTTGATAACTATTAGCCATTTCTTTCTGGAGTGGCTCTTTCCCCATTTGGTTAGTGGGTGATGACAGGCTTAACTTGGTCTCCTACTCTCCTCTTTTCCTCCTGCCTGTGTCTTTAATCCTTATAATCTGTAGTCCTTGCGTATCCTTATTCCACACTTTTCCAGGACATTGTCATTCCCGTTCATGGAACTCTATGCTGATTCCTCCCAAGTCTATTTCTCTGTTCCAGACATCTGTCCAAATTAAGCTCCAGAAACATACTCTCCCTGCCTTCACCCCCAAGTCCCCAGGCAACTCAAATTAAGTGTAGTCATTTTTTAATGCTAAATTGCCTCTACTCAATAACTTGTTGATTAATTTTACAATATAGTCACCCCAACCCAAACTGGAAAGTTACCTTATTCTTTTACCTCTACATTGAATTGGTTTCCAAGTCCTAATTTACATTTAATCCCTCAACATCACATCCATTCCTGCTGGTTCCAGTATCATATGTTCCCCCTTACTATTGCTGATGCCACATCCATGCTTAGCACCTTTCAGTGCCTGTCCATTGCCTTGGATAAGGTCTGAAGAGCTTCGTATGACCCGCAAAACTGATCTCTGCTTATTGCTCTCATTAAGTTTCCTTCTGTTCCATTTCCTTCCCAGACTTCCCTTCTAGGCACATTCGGCTGTGCTGACATTTCCCCCAAATTGCCACGTTTCTCTTTCCTCACCTTTATCTGCCTAGAGAACTAATATTTAGGCTTAAGTCCCGGTTCTCTGGGTCTCATTGACACTACCCCTCCTTCACAGACTTGAGCATGTCTCCTCTTCAGTGCCTCAACTCATATATATATATATATATATATATATATATATATATATATCTGTATATGTTGGTTCACTTGGGGAACCCAGGAGTTCTCCAAGTGAAATTTGGAACTACTTACCAAATACGGAGGGCAAGCAGGGACCAGAGAAAGGGGCAGGCCACTCCAGACTGGTCAGTGGCAGGAATAATAAGCAGGGGAACTTACATATGAGGCTTGTCTTGGGCACAGCAAGACCTGTAGACCTCTGCACCCACCTGTCAGAATTTTAAGTTTTTGTAGAGGCCTCACAGGATTCAGTCATGTGTACCATCCAGATGGTCTCAATAACATATTGCTCTCTCAAGGCTGCATCCTTGAAATGGCTCCTGGTGCAGGACTGAACCATACACTGAGCTGAACATACATTCCAAGCATGGGGCGCAGAGGTAAGGAGCCTCTGATCATTTGGCCCCGCATCCAGCTCCAACGTGAAGTCACGTCCTCTCGGTGAACTCCTCCAACAGTATATATGTATACAATCCTATTACAGCACAGAGCACATTTTTTGGCAAATCTTTGTTTTCGGCCTGTCTCCCTTTGTAGTCTGTGAACTTCTCCATGGTAGGGACTATATTTTATTTATATTTGTTTTCTCAGTCTTCAGAGAAAGGCCTGGTACACAGAAGGTGCTCCATAAATATTGGGTGAATCAGGTACCAGTGAATAAGGGCGCCTCTCTGAGTGCAGGGATGGATCTGTCGCGTGGGCATTGATCCTGGACCTGTACACATGAAGAGGATTCTTTAGTGTGGGTCTTTCCTGTGGAGTTGATTGATTGGTTGATTCATTCATTAAACATTTATAGAACACCTGGTAGGTTTTAGGCATTGAGGCCATAAAGGCAAGCATCCTCTGTGTCTTTGAGAAAATTATTCTCCTAATACAGAAAGCAGCACATTGTGGTTAGCCATTTCTGCAGATGGATGCAGAGCAGACTGAAGAGTAGCTAAGGCTGGAGGCATACACCCCAGTCTGAGACTTTCTGTGACCCAGTGGACTTTCATGTCTTGGACCTGCTTCTTGGGATGGATGACCCTTATTTCATTTTCACCTAGGATGGAAGGCTGGCATGCCTCCACGGGGTCTGACCAAGGCAGCCATGAGCAGATGTTGCTGCAGATCAGCACGTGGCCAGGGCACATACAGGGGCCCATGTTAAAGAAGAGATGTGTTTGGGACGGACGAGGCAAGCATGGTCCAGGAAAGGCAGGTTTGGGGTCATGGAGCCATCTAATCCTTGTTCTTTCCCAAAGGGCTTTACTCACACAGGGCTTCCTCTGTTCCTTCCTAAGGAAGACAACTTCCTTTTTATCTCCTCCCTTTGCCAAACCTGTTCTCTTCAGGAATCTGAAGCTCATTTTCTATATCGATTACTAATAATGAGGGCTTCCTTTCCTTATTCTAAAGATGATGAGTTCCTCTTTATCTCTTCCCTGTCCAAAACCTGCTTTCAGAAATAGAATCTGAAATTTATCTACCATATATAATAAAATAGTAGAAAAGCTTAAAGATGATTAGTTCAGTGATATAGTCTAGTGGGTCTTCCTATCTAAGCAGTATAGAGAGATTTAGATTAATGTTTAAGTAGCCGATTGATGCTAGGGATTATGTTCTAAGAAATAATACAGAAAGACAAGCAGCTTATCTGAGGCTCCTGAAATTACTCCAGGAAGGCGGGTTATCTTTTTTTATCTGCCAAGTTGGACAACAGGGAGAAGGAGGGGAAAAGGTCAGGGAGGAAAAAAGGTCAGTGCCCAAGGTGCAGGTAGAGCTTAGACTAGCTGAATGTCTGGGGTGAGTGGTTAATTAAGGGGAGAGAAGCTGAGCGCGCGCTCAGTGGGAGAAATTACAGTGAGTGGCCTGTGACGGGATCTGAGTTACACAAATGTTTTGGTGCAGGTGGCAAAAAGGCAAAGGGGCATGTCCAAGTTTGTCTCTTTTGACTGAGAACATCTTTCACGCCCCCTAATAGGAGGATGGGGCGAAAAGGAGGAGGGAGCGGGCGGAGCCCAAAGGGGAGGGGCTAGAGGGACTCCCAAGCCCTTCCCGCGCCCCCGCGAAGTCCAGTGAAGGACGGGGGCGGGCGCTGGGCGGAGCCTTTCGCGCATCCTCTGAGCAGCCGCCGCTGAGCATCATGGGAAAATCCTTCCTCCGTCGGACATGGCGCCCACCTGCCCGGCGGCAGCAGCCGGTTCCGGCGCTGCGGTTCTCAGGTCTGGGCAGAAAAGCGGCGCGAGCTTCAGTCGTGGGGCGGAAGGAGGTGGAGGAGGCGGCGGCAGCGCGGCCCGGGGGCCCGGGTGTTAAAGCTGTGGGCGCTCGGGGCCCCGGCGGCAGCAGGCATGGTGTCGCAGGTGCTGCAGCTGCTCCGGCAGGGCGTGTGGGCCGCGCTCACCGGGGGCTGGTACCACGACCCGGAGCAGAGCAAGTTCACCAACAGCTGCCACCTGTACCTGTGGCTGTTCCTGCTGCTGCTGCCCATGGCCCTGCACCTGGTGAGTGGGCTGGCTCAGCCCCGGAGAAACGCGGGGCTGGAGGGAAGACGGGGCGAAAGCTGCCCAAACCTGAGTGTCTGCTTCCTGGTGGAAAGGGCTGGCAGTGATTCTTATGAAGTGGGATGGGGAAGGTCTTCAGGAATTTGGGACACAGAAAATGCAGGGAAAGGGGGACGAGGGACAGAGTAGCAGGAAAAGATGTAGAAAGGACTTTGGGGGCTCTGGGACTCATTAAGAATTGATGCTGACTGTTAGGATGAGTCAGACTCTGCTTGTCCCTGGGGAGGGTTGAACCCCTTGTGTAGGTGGACAATCCCAGGCCTCTTGGCTGTTTAGCTTGGGTTAATGTTTGGTATAAGATGTTGTGCATGATCGCCGTAAGGCCAAATGAAATGTTAAAAGCAAACCTGTTTCATTTGTTGATCTTTTCCTCACCTCCTCCCTGCTTGTTTTGCTTTGAGAAGGCTGGTTCAATGACCAGTTACTCAACTTGCAATTTCCGCACCACTCTCTAGAGAAATCTGTAGAAAGATATAATCATGGGTAAATCTAATGTAGTTTGTGCTGGCAAAATATGACAGCACCTAGTTGGGGCTTGACACTTTTCGTCGGGTTACCATAATTGAATGCCTGCTGAATAACTACATAGATGACCTTGTCAGGTAAATTAAACATACCTAATTGAAACAATGGTTAACCTTATAAGCTGTACAGGTGAGGTGCTCCATGTCTTATTAAACTTTATGTGCCAAGAATCTCATTTTGAAATGTTTATTGAAAGATTTTATTCCAAAAACGTAATTTGACCGTGTTCTCCACAGCAAAAATCTTTGATGACTTTGCATGGCTGAGGGATTCTGATTTGGATGTTAGAGGTTGTCCATGATTTGGCTCCTTTTACTCTGTTTCTGGCAGTTTTTCCAGAGGATGGGAATTTTTGCTCTGAAGTCAGGCTCCTAGGCTGAATTCTGGGTCCACTTCTTACCAGTTCTGTGACCTTGGGGAAGTTACTCTGACTTTTCAATTTCTTACCTGTAAAATGAGACAAATAATATTGGGTTGTCGGACAAGTCATGACATATTTTTTCTATGTTTTTCATTGCAAAAATGCGTCATGACTTTTCTGACAACCCAGTACTACCAGATGTACAGTGTTGGTTTGTCACTTAAATGAAATACTGCACGTAAACCCATCTACCTGTCTGGCTTGACCTGATGTTGGACTCAGACCTGGTTTAAATTTCTGTTTTGCTCTTTATTAGCTGCCTGACCTGATAACTGACCTATCTAAATCTTAATTTTCTCATCCTTAAAATAGATGTGATAATGACCATTTCACAGGAAAAATAAAATTTCGTATTAAAAGCACTTAATACAGAGGCTGATCGTGGAGGTCCTTTAATAAACATAAGTTTCTTCTTCTGTGACCTTGTCCATCATTTTTCTGTAGCCTGTAGGTACCTGTGTTTTCTCTTTGCCTAGAGGGGCAGTGAGGAGGAAGGCAAGGCTGGGTGCCAGCGTGGCTCTTCTGCTTACTAGTCATACGCGTTCAAGCCAGCTTCAGCTTTCAGGTTTGGAAAACAGGGTTCATGGTACCTCCAGTAGGGCTGATATGAGGAGTGAATGGATTCGTGAAAGGACTTCTCACAGTACTTGTTTTTCTTTTCTTTTCCTTTCCCATCATTCACTTGCCAAAATCGTTCCATCCTTCAAAGCCCAGTGGAGTGGCCATCTCTGTCTGGGCCTCCCTAATTTTTTCCAGCTAGAGTTAATTTCTCTTCTGTCTTTCCCTTTCACTATTCTGGATTGACTGTTAGTACTATAGCACTTTTTGGATTCGTCCTTGTACTTAGTTTTGGAACATGTATTCATAAATCATGAGCTTTCTGAGCATGTGGATTTTGATTTTGTTGATTCATCTTGGTTTCGGTGTGCCTAGCAGGGTGCCCTGCCTTTGGTTAACACTTATCTCATATATAATAAACTGGTGGAAATAAAATCAACCGGCATCTCTTTCTGTTCCAGTGAGCATTATATCATACACATCACTGTATTTGAGTATTTCCTGATAATGACATATATGTATATATATATTCCATTTCTAATCTCACTCCTCAGCAATAACCACAGTAACATTTCATGTATATTTCTACAGATTTTTTTTCTATATATATGGGCTCATTTTATGTCACTATGCTTAAGATTTGATGTATGCATATGATCAAAACCCTTAAATTCTACCTAATTATGCTTAATTAGCTTGATTTCTACCTTATGTCGTAAATAGGAAATTGTCCTTAGTAAAGTTCCTCTTTAGTGATATTTAAAAATTTTGGCAAAATCTCAAAAAGAGTTTAGACAGTAAAACCTGATATCTTAAGTAATTTTGTTTTTATGTTGGATTTTTGGGATCAAAAGTTATACCACCATTTTTATATTTTGATGCCAGTGTGCTTTTAACTGTTATAGAATAATTTTATGTGAGTGCATTTATTGTTATGCTGCATATTAGTGCATTTCAGCATGTAGCCTGTCTATTAAAAAATGCAGGTTATGCTGTTTTGGCCTCTGGTCTCTGAAAGTGATCTTAGAAACAAGACACCCTCTTCCCCCAACTGAGGGTTCTGGTCTCTAGGTCTTGATGCTTCAATATTGGGTTATCAGGAAAGTTGTGATGCATTTTTGCATTGAAAAATATAGAAAACTATGTCATGACTTTCCCAACAACCCAATATATTCTTCTGACTTCAGTGCTGCCTGGGGATGTTAACATCTTTTTTAGTTTGTTCAATTTACAAGAACTTGGTCCAAAAAGGATTCCTGGCTGCTCACTGAGAACAGGGCCTTCCTCAAAGTTCTGTTATTTAAGGGGCCTGAAACTTTTTTTGGTTTTGCACAATTTCAGCTTAAACATGTTCAGTCAAAACAGTTCCACTGTAGGGAGAGTCCACCTTTTAATTTAATGAGAACTTTGACTATGTAAATTAAAATCTTATTATTATCTCTAAGCCCTAGAGTTTACTTAGCTCTGGTTGATATTGTGGAATGTTATTTATTAGCATTTATAAACTGTTTACATATTTATGAGAAATGCTAAAACATACACACCCAAAACATTAAGCCAATTTGGATAATTCGGAAAGAATTTTACTTTGATTTATTATCAACATAATTTTCTTTTGAACAGACTGAAAGATGCATTTGTTCTCAGAGATATTTAAGCTTTCATTTATTACTCATGTTCTTGAACTTATTATTTTGAGATAAGTAACCGAGATTCACGGAGAGCTTTAGAACAGGGGTACCCAGGGCATGACTCTGACCCGCTGTAAGTTCTGACAGCCCTAGGCTAGTGCTTATCAATTGTGTGAAGTTGTGAAGTCACTTCACTTCTCCAGGCCTAGGTTTTATCATCTGTAAAACCGGGATAACAGGTTTACTTTTATTGTTTTTGCAACTGAGTTCCAGAGAGAGTACTTGCCCATGGCCATCTAGACAATAGGTGGTGTTAATAAAACTCAGAATTTTAACTGAGGTCCTGTGGTGCCCAAGTCTGGCCTTTCCACCACACTGTGCTGCCTGAGCTGGTACACACAAGAGCATTTGAACTCCCGGAAGCAGTGCAGCCACAGGAAGTAGGATCTGATTATGCTGGTGGCAGCGTGGTCATCCCTAGTAGGGGAAGAGTTGAGTGGTGGAGTAAATGGGGCGGACCCTTCACATTCCCCAAGACCTTGTGCAGGGCCACGTTCTTTATGGTTTCCACAAAGAAAGCCTGTGTTCTAAGGCTGCAGCTTTATGTTTCCTTTCATTTCCTTTCATTTTAGCCAGACTTGCTTGCTCTGTTTCCAGTTCTGAGCTTTCGTTTACCTTCAAGGCTTTCTTTGATAAGAACCACTTCATTTCTAATTGCTCTAATTATAATTAGGTGGGATTACCTGTCACCTACTAGCATAGCCCTCTCTGCGCACCAGCTGTTATTGTAACATTGTCACACCTGGCAGGTAACTCCCCAATTAGAGTGTGTAGCCACTCCCCCTTTGGGTCCTTACCTCTTCTTCCTCAGGTTTTGTATTTCATTGGCCACCCCGCCTTCCGCACCCACTTCTAACATAAGACGCCTTTGTATGCATTATGAAAAAGTGGCCTGCTCCAACGGGCACTCTTTCCTGGCCCAGGACTTGGGGACTGGACTTCAGCCACCATTTGACCCCATCATTTGGAGGCCTTTGTGCACGATGCAGCCTGCACAACCTTCCACAGGCTGCGCCCACTCGATTGCTGTTACTTTCTGCACTACTTGGCATGTTGCTGTTCCTAAAACGTTACCTCTCATCCTGGTCAGTCCTTGCATTTTATTCAGTTTCTCCCTAAGAAAGGCTTTTTCTGCTGTTGAATCACATGGTCCATACTTTCCTTCTCTGAACTTGTTATCTGGCTCGTCCACCTCTGGGGGCCTAATTTCTTCTCACACTGAGAAGCATGATTCTTTGCGCTTTCCCCATGATTCACTTGAATTTCCTTTCTCCTGCCCTGTCCTGCCTGAAACTGGGTTCTGCGGAGAAGAGGCTGCAGCTTGGGGATGCTGAAAGCCATTCTCCCATAGCCCCTGCCCCCACCCCCCAGAGGGAGGTGGGGACCCTTCTTCACTTGGGCTGAGTGCCCTGCCAAGCAGCAGTCTTTAACATCCTGCTGCCCCAGACAGCTGCTTGGACAGCGTACGCTCAGAGCCTGCGTGCCTGGCATGAGCACCTTTACTGGCATGTCCTCCACCCCCAGGGCATCCTAGGGCAGTCACCCTCAGGCTTTCCAAGCTAATAGCTCCTGTCCTGAGTGACGGCTGCCACCCTTCTGCAAAACGCCTCCTGCGTATCCTGTCTGCCATTTAGACACATGGGCGTCTGCAGACAGGTGGCGTTTTGGTCTCTGGCAAAAGGACCAGCACTGGCCTTGTCCTGGGTGTAGGCCTCGGCTGCACCCTCCCAAAATAGCACTTTTAA